TGTAAAGAACAAAGTTTTTATTTAAAGGGAAAGGGAGGAAGCAGTTTTCCTTGAGGGAGGTAGTGAAGCCCAGTTGTTAATGGCTTGTTTTTTGTTTGTTTGTTTTTGAGACAGAGTCTTGCTCTGCCCCCAGGCTGGAGTCCAGTGGCCAGATCTCAGCTCACTGCAAACTCTGCCTCCTGGGTTCAAATGACTCTTCTGCCTCAGCCTCTTGAGTAGCTGGGACTATATGCACATGCCACCATGCCCAGCTAATTTTTGTATTTTTTGGTAGAGACAGGGTTTTGCCATGTTGGCCAGGATGGTCTCGATCTCCTGACCTCATGATCTGCTCCCCTCAGCCTCCCAAAGTGCTGGGATTACAGGTGTGAGCCACCGCGCCCAGCCAATCACTTGGCTTCAAAGCAAAAGTTGGCCTGTGCTGAACTCGAGTCTGTATTTATTGCTCTGTGACCTTAGCGAATTATGCGACCTCTTTGGGTGTGTTTTCCTGTTTGTCACATAGGAACAGTAACAGTAACGCTGAATAGTGAGAATTAAATGAGCAGGGCATAGAAGTGTGAAAGGAAAATCTCTTGGGTAGCTTCAAGCTGGGAACTGCTCCAGGCAAATCTGACTCCCGTTCTCCCCAAAGTCACCCCTCTGCTCATGGCCATAGGTGCGTATCTGATTCCTCTGTTGGAAAGGCTAATCTGAAACTCAAAAGAATGCAGCCATTAGTCTCTCACCTATCTGTGACCTGGAGGCCCCCTCCATCTGCCTCTGCTTCAAGTTGTCCGCCTTTCCCGACTGAACCATTTACTTCTTACATGTATAGATTCGTGTCTCATGTCTCCCTAGAATGCAGAAAACTAACCTACACCCGACCATGTCACCAGGACTTCCTGAGGCTGTGCCACAGCGCGCGTCCTCAAACTTGGCAAAATTAACTTTCTAAATTAACTGAGACCCATGTCAAATTTTCGGGGTTCACAGAAGGCATTCAGTGCAAAGCACAGCATCCAGTAAGTGTTTAATAAATGGAAGCAAGGGGGAGCGAAAGCAGGGGAGAGCAGGGACCTAGAACCCAAGGACTGCAGGTAATGGCTGCGAGAAAAGGGAGTGTTCCCTCCTCAGACGTATTTAGTGTAAGGACAGAACCTTCTCTGAAATCCTGCTGTGAAATCATCACACAATCTTCCTTACCACCCAGAATTTCACTGTCCAAATTCCTGCTGGTTTTGATTTTCATTCTTCAATATTTATTTCCTGAATGTAAATAAGCAATCCACAGCCGGGGCCTGCCTTCACACAAACGAAAGCATTCTCAGCTGAGCTCGCTCCCAGCCCCCTCTCCCCAGGCTCCTTGAGAGGTGCTCCGGTCACTGCTCGGGAAGACGGCCTGCACAGACAGAGCAGCCCAAGACAAATAAATGCTGGCATGAGGCCTCAGAGGAAGAATGAGTCTTCACAGGCTGGGAGGTCTCCTGGATGCATCTGCTGGTAACTGGCCCCTGAGAGAGAGAGAGGTGCAGGGAGAGAGGGAAAGAAGGAGGGGGAGGAGATGAAGCAGGAGGAGGAGGGGAAAGGGAGGGAAGGATGGAAGGAGAACGTATAGGCAAGGAGTCACAGTCCTTCATAACTGACTCTTGGAAGTGACACTCCATCCACTCCAGTGTATCCGGTAGAAGCAAGTCACCAGGTCCAACCCCGACTCAAGGGGAGGGAATTCCATTAGGGCATAAATAGCAGAGCCCGCTTCAGAAGCAGCCTGCCACAAGGACCTCCATGTGCTCTGCACACACCGCGCAGGTCCTGATGGAGTGGACCTACGGATGGAGTAGACCTGCCGATGGAGTGGACCTACCGATGGAGCAGACCTGCCGATGGAGTGGACCTACCCATGGAGCAGACCTGCCGATGGAGTGGACCTACCCATGGAGCAGACCTGCCGATGGAGTGGACCTACCCATGGAGCAGACCTGCCGATGGAGTGGACCTACCCATGGAGCAGACCTGCCGATGGAGTGGACCTACCCATGGAGCAGACCTGCCGATGGAGTGGACCTACCGATGGAGCAGACCTGCCGATGGAGTGGACCTACCCATGGAGCAGACCTGCCGATGGAGTGGACCTACCCATGGAGCAGACCTGCCGATGGAGTGGACCTACCCATGGAGCAGACCTGCCGATGGAGTGGACCTACCGATGGAGCAGACCTGCCGATGGAGTGGACCTACCGATGGAGCAGACCTGCCGATGGAGTGGACCTACCGATGGAGCAGACCTGCCGATGGAGTGGACCTACCCATGGAGCAGACCTGCCGATGGAGTGGACCTCCACCTGAGGCGGGGTAAACAGGCAGGTGCCTTGAGGTTAGGGACCTGTGCCTGGAAGCTTGTGGTGTAATCTATATTTTCAGAAGATTTAAACTGGAGAAAAGGAATAGTTCTGGCCAGCAGGCCCTGGAAATAAGACCTGGGAATGTGAGGTCTCCATAATTTATGTACTTGGCCCATTCTGTATTTACTTTCTATTGCTGCTGTAACAAATTAACACAAATTCAGTGGCTTAAAGCAGCACAACGTTATTCTGTTACAGTTCCGGAGGCCAGAAATCCTAAGTCGGTTTCAGTTGGCTAAAGTCGTTGGAAAGGCTGCTTCCTTCTGACGTTCTGGGTAACCCACTTTCTGGCCTTTTCCAGCCTCTGGGAGCCTCCGTCCTCCATCTTCCAAGCACATCCCTCCAACCTCTGCATCGATTGTTACATCACCTGCTGACTCCGACGCTCCCTTCGTCTTTCTTATAAAAACCCCTGTGTTTACATTGAGTCCACCTGGATAATCCAGTATAATTTCCCATCTTAAGATCCTTCATTTAGGCCAGGCGGTGGCTCACGCCTGTAACCCCAGCACTTTGGGAGGCCGAGGCAGGCAGATCACCGGAGCTCAGAAGTTCGAGACCATCCTGGCCAACATGGTGAAACCCAGTCTCTACTAAAAATACAAAAATTAGCTGGGTGTGGTGGTGGCACCTGTAATTCCAGCTACTCGGGAGGCTGAGGCAGGAGAATTCCTTGAACCCAGGAGATGGAGGTTGCAGTGAGCCAAGATTGTGCCACTGCGCTCCAGCCAGGGTGATAGAGTGAGACTCCGCCTCAAAAGAAAAAAGAAAAGATCCTTCACTTGGTAGCATCTGCAAAGCCCTTTGGCCGTGTAAGGTGACACTGACAAGCTCTAGGGGCTGGGCTGGGGGTGTCCTTTGGCCATGTAAGGTAACACTGACAAGCTCTAGGGGTTGGGCTGGGGGTGTCCTTTGGCCATGTAAGGTAACACTGACAAGCTCTAGGGGCTGGGCTGGGGGTGTCCTTTGGCCATGTAAGGTAACACTGACAGGCTCTAGGGGCTGGGCTGGGGGTGTCCTTTGGCCATGTAAGGTAACACTGACAGGCTCTAGGGGCTGGGCTGGGGGTGTCCTTTGGCCGTGTAAGGTAACACTGACAGGCTCTAGGGGTTGGGGTGTGGGCATCTTTTCGAGGCTGTTACTTAGCCCACCACGATTATGTAAATGGTCACAGCAATTTCATGGGTCTTACTGTCACCCTCCAATGCCATGATTGTTGCATTCTCCTCCAGAAACACCTCCTCCCCAAAGTGCAATGCCGTGATTGTCAACATTCTCCTCCAAAAACCAGAGCACAGTCAGATTGTAGGATTGGACTATTAACTACTTAATGAATAGTGTAAGCCTAAAACGAACCGCCCAGTCCTACAGTCTGACTACGCTGCTGCTTTCCTGACTGTACCCAGATCTGTCCTGCCTTTGCCCCGCCAATTAATTTCCAATCCAAGGCTCTCTTGCCAACCAGCTCACAGCTGTGTTGGGCCAGTGCGCTGGGGAGAGATTGGAGGGCAGTGGAAGAAGCCAGGGTACACCCTCTGCCCAAGTCAGGCAGCATCTCTTAGTGGCTATGCTCTCCCTTATGGTTTCAGCTCTTGTCACACACACTCCTTCCATGGACTCAGATCTTACTGGGCAGCATCCACAGAAGATCCAGCTCCCCCAGGGGAGTCCCAGCTCTTAAGGCTCCAGCCCTGTGGATGGTAGCATCTCCCTATTTGTGATAAGCCCAAGGTGGTCTCACCATCCCCTCGTTAACTTTTCAGCTTTCCTAACACCTTTGTAACTAATTTCTCTTAATGAAATTCTTTCAGTTGGTCTTGGGCTCTATCTGTTCTGACTGAACCCCAACTGAGATACTGGCTCTCAAGGGTTTTTATAACATTATACCAAACTATTTGTTCAACTTTATCTCCCAGATTCCTTTATTCTAGCTAACCCAAACCACATTATTATCATCATTTATTGTTATTATTATTTTAAAACACACTTTTCTGCTTCAGGAGAGGTATGCTCAAGCCACTCCCTCCCTGTGAAAGGCCCCCCTTCATTCTGGGCTTTGCTTGTCAAAATATTTTGGGGTTTTGGAGGATCACTTCAGAATCATCCTCTTCCTACAATGCCCTCTTGATTACCACGTCTGGAATGATTTCCCTTTGCAGATGCAGTGCTGTATGGTAATGAGCTGTGGGAATCTGTGCGAAGCCTCGTCACACGACTGCCTGGCATTGGAGGGATTTGCTCAGGTCATAAGCTCCCACAGTTTGCGTCTGTGCTGGGTCCTCTGCGGGTGCTCAATGGATACACCATTTAATCAAAACAATGTTGGAATTCCATTCATGGGCATGACTCTTGCCATCATTCTCTGTTAGATAAAAGAAGGTAATCAGTTTTCATTTTATCTTTATTAATTATGTTTACTCAAGGCCAGAAAAAGAAATCTAATGTTTTAAAATTACAAACTGCTCTCCATTCTTTCCATTCTAGTTAATTGAAATTGAGTATTGATTTCCCAACCAGAAAATTCATACCTGTGTTTCACAGCACATACCTAGCTTAAATGCTCAAGCAAATGCGAGATATTTCTGCCACGATGGTCACTAGCAGTGAGGTTGGCATCAGCCACTTTGCCCATCAGCAGTTACTGCAGTCAATGTGCAGGCTGACAAAGTCAGGTGCTCATCAGCTTGTGTGAAAAGCTGCAGAGCTGACCAAACAAGCATGTGTTGGATGAATTTTTTCCATTTATATGAGTGGGAAAAATGACCCACAGCAAAGAAACCTGATCTCCTCACAGACATAAGACTGTCTACACTGATGAGGCCAACTAAGCCTGCCCGGGATGGTGCCGACGGGGAACGTCATGATCCGGGTGAGTATCTTATCTACCAAGTGTCCAAGAGCAGGTCAATCACGGGGTCCATTCCTCTCTTCATGCTTGGCTGCTCAGGTTCAAGTCTCGGTACCCCACCCCCACCCCCCAAGTGACAATGACCCACGTAGATCAAAAGGCAAACAGACTCAGGCCTATTCCCCTTCCTCCCTAGCCAGCGTCACTGGCCAGAGTCCCAAAGTCCTGGCCAGTGCTGTCAACACGGCCTAACAGAAGGGCTACCACCTGCAAGGGGCTTCCTGGAGACATCTGAAACTCTGGTGATGTTCCCAACAGCCTGATTCAAACAGAAGGCAGCAGCTGACCCGGAAAAGGTGGGCAGCTTCTAAGAACAGGCTCTCTACAACCTTCCTGAAGACCAGCACTTTCGGAGGAGGTGCCCGGTTGGTAGCCTACCCCAAACTTGCCCTCCTGAGAAATACGACTTCCCAAGAGGCGGAGCATTTGAGTTGCTGGGTGGGCCATCATTCAGCAGTGCTTTTGTTTGTGGGTCTGTTTTTGAGTAGCGGCCCCTCCAAGTCAGGAATTCATCTTTACGGTTGCAATTGTTTGGGGGTAAGGTCTGCAGTGGGAAGGAGGATGCTTGACTCGCTCTTTAAATGGCAGCATCCATGACCATTTCCTGTTCTCTTTTTGTGTGGCCACAGGATGGCAATGTTTAGGAATGTTACTGTTACCTCCCGGGGTCTGTGTAGATCCTAGATTAGAGCTCAGCAACGCACAGGAGCAGCTGGAGGTTAGGGTAGGACCAAGAGCTTTTAAATCAGGAACAAGAGAAGAAAAGGAAAAGTCATTTATTATGAGATTTTTAGAATTCCCAATAAAAATATTGCAAAGTGTCCACCGAAGGGTACTTAAGTAAATGCAGAAGCTGGCTGAATCCTGCGTGAACCACACTGCTGGGGTTCCTGCTGTCCCCGATGATGCATCTCATGCTGAATTCTGACCACTGCAATGGATTTTTCTCCGCCTGTTGGGAAGCACTTCCACAGTTGTATCTCATGAGTTTAGCAACTACCATGCTGTAATACCTCGATCTGAATCAGCAGGTTTCCCTAGATTGGAATTTCCCTGCGGCAGGACCCATGCTTTCTTTATCTGTTTCATTCAATCCTGAAGGTGTAATATAAACAACCTGGGCTCGGTGCATGTGAAGTAAGTAACTCATGGGCTGAAATAGTATCCGAGTTTAGGGCCAAAAATTCCTCTAGACTAATTTGTCAAAGAATAAGCCCGAAAGGTAAGATTTGGCCTGAATTCTGAAGAGGAATCAAAGGAGAGGGGGCTGGGAAGGAGTGGCGCAGATAGCCCCCTCTCCACCCATTTCACTCAGCCCTGAGCATGTGGAAGAGGACGTTCTGAGTTTGGAGGAGCAGAGGCAAAGGGGTGTGGCAATTGGAAAGCTGGGTTCAGGGCTGCTTGTGACATGCAGGGAAAGACGTGGGACTATGGCAAATACAACTGGAAGAGCAGATCCAGGCATTTAATTTAAGGAGTTTGAAAAATGATGTTAAGGAGGGCTTTTTGCTTGGTTCTTTCCATTTTTCCCTCCAGTGATTGCGCAGATTTGAGACTGACACAGTGAGGAAGCAGCTGTTTGCTTAAATAACCGAGTAAGCTGCTAGAGAGGAATGGGAAACTGTGATCCACAGACCTCAAGCTCTGGAGAGGCAGCAAAAGGCACCCTGGCCTGCTCTGACTCAGAAGGCCTCCCCTGGGGGAGGATCCTGGGAAGTGGCCCCAGAAGGTGGCATTGGATGGTGGCACCGGGTGGTTGCCTCAAGTGACAGATTCCAGATGGTGACCCTCAGGGGGGTGGCACTGGATGGTGACCCTGGGTGGCTGCCCCTGCTTCTCTGTTCCTGTGACTCAAACAGAGGCTATTTTCAGCTCCACTAGCCCCTCCCCACATCATGATCTCAGGGGGCCCAGAGGAGGCTGCATAGCTCTGTGACTTCAGAACTGGCAGGAAGAGGAATGGGAGCTTCCCTGCCAGCAGGAGTTGGCTAGATCAGACAGGGCCCCTGCAACGGGTGCTGATGAGTATGGATGAGTCAAAAAGCCAATGGCACCCTGGGAAGGCGTTGGGCCTGGCTTGTGCCTCTCACACAGGCTTTAAAAATTGGTGTGCAGCATAGATACCCCTTAGTGTAGTGCAAGGTCAGCGAATGACTGGGGAGCTAGATTCCTCTTTTATTCCAGTTAATCAGATTATGTGAACTGATTAAGCAGAATTTGTTAATAACATTCACTTACAAGCAGTGGAGAGCTTTATGAGTAAGTCATTAGGTTGGCAACTTTAAATACCTGGCATTCAAAAACAATTCCAAATGCTTTTACATTGCAAACTTCTGGACTCTAAGAAAATAGCTAATACCTGGCGTGTCGCAGTCCTGCAATGCTCTAAGACATTATAGGAAAAAAAAAGGAACGTGTCCTAAGCGTTCACAGAGTAAGCTATGCCTCTGCTCTGAAAGCTGCTCCTTAATTTGGTTCACAGTTTCCCCCAACCTTCCTCCAAAGAGCTGCAGCCTGGACGGGCTTTTGGTGAAGAAAGGCATCATCTACAGATCAGGCTTCCCTGGGCGATGGATGGATGCAGGTGATCTGTTCTTCCCATTTCAAAGACAGAAAAGCTGGAGCACATCATAATTTGTTTGCTTAATGTGCCCCCTCACACAGAAAGGAAAGAAATTAAAGAAATAAGAGGGTAGCGGTTGGAATCCAGAGGCCTCAACTCCCAGGCTTCCCCACGACTTCGCCAACGTGATTAATTCATGGTGCCCATGGTCAGTGGTGGCGATTGGCTTTGGGTGTGGTGATTGGGCACAGTGTGTAAAGCTGAAAGGGTTTGGGGCTGGGCGCAGTGGTTTACACGAGTAATCCCAGCACTTTGGGAGTCTGAGGCGGGTGGATCACAAGGTCAGGAGTTCGAGACCAGCCTGACCAAGGCGATGAAGCCCTGTCTCTACTAAAAAGACAAAAATTAGCCAGGCGTGGTGGCGGGCGCTGCATTGCCAGCTTTTTGGGAGGTTGAGGCAGGAGAATAGCTTGAACCTGGGAGGTGGGGGTTGCAGTGAGCCGAGATCATGCCACTGCACTCCAGCCTGGGCAACAAGAATGAGACTCCATTTCAGAAAAAAAGAAAGGGTTGGGAGTCCTGGGTTTTCCTTGTGTTAAATTTGGTCAAGCTAACTACTCTGTGTCTCAGTTTCCTCATCTAAACCTCTTTGTATTTCAGGATTGAATGAGTTACCACATATGAAGTGTTTGGAGCAGGTCCTGCCACACGTGAGGAGCTCAGTAAATGGCAGCTATAGTGATACCTTTCCCTTCACAGCTGTGGTAGAGCTGGGCGGCCGTGGGGCACCTTTACTGACAGTGCCTGCCTTCTGTAACTTCAAGATGTAGTGGTGGATAAAGAACACGGTTGCATAAATAATATTTGGGAGGGCACATGTGGTTTAGGGTACACAGTGTGGAAGCCAGGTGTCACATACACAAATGTGTTAAAAAACCAAGTAGGCAGCTCAAGCCAGGAAGTAGGGGTTGTAACAAGAAGTGGAGAGTCTGAGGCCTCGAGACGTGCAGGTCTGTCTACAGGAATCCCAGTGCCTCGAGACGTGCAGGTCTGTCTGCAAGCGTTCCAGTGCATTGTGAAACCTTTCTGTGGGCTGTGCCTATCACATCTGAGGGCTGAGTCACGCTCAGAAGCTGCTGCAATTACTGAGATTTGAAGTTATAAGGCAAATACGGTGGTAAAAAAAAAAAAAAAATGAGAGAATAACCGAGGAAGCCAGACTCTGGCCAAAATGAAAGGTGAAGAAATCTTGCCTTTTGGACCTGTGGTGCAGTGCCCAGGACCCAGGGGGACACAGGTGTAGAGCCAGAGACTGGGGGTCTTGTCACCATATTAACTGCCCTCACCCAGGAGCACCTCTTCTTCTATTTCCCCTTCCTCCCTCCCTTTTTTTCTCCCCCTCCCTTCTTTTTTTTTCTTTTTTCTTTTCTTGAGACGGAGTTTCGCTCTTGTTCCCCAGGCTGGAGTGCAATGGCGCAATCTCGGCTCACCGCAACCTCCGCCTCCTGGGTTCAGGCAATTCTCCTGCCTCAGCCTCCTGAGTAGCTGGGATTACAGGCACGCGCCACCGTGCCCAGCTAATTTTTTGTATTTTTAGTAGAGACGGGGTTTCACCATGTTGACCAGGATGGTCTCGATCTCTTGACCTCGTGATCCACCCGCCTTGGCCTCCCAAAGTGCTGGGATTACAGGCGTGAGCCACCGTGCCTGGTCCCCCCGCCCTTCTTTTATGTCTCTTTATATTTTCCCCACATTTATCTTCTCTTTCTTTGTCACCCTAGGCCTGGTGTGGTGCCCAGTGGTACCCAGGGACAGTGCAAAGTTTCACTGGTGACATTCAGCATTGGTCCAATAATCTTATACCAGACCATGCCTTCCTCGCAATACTCACATCTGAAAGTGTTAATTCTGGGAAGAGTCAGCACAGCAAGAAGACTCTAGTAGCAAAATACAAAACCTCAAGGAAGAATTGAAAAATGGATAGGCTGGGCGTGGTGGCTCACGCCTGTAATCTCAGCACTTTGGAGCCAAGGCAGGCGGACCAGCCAAGGTCAGGAGTTCAAGATCAGCCTGGCCAACATGGTGAAACCCTGCCTTTTAAAAAGAAAGAAAGAAAGAAAAAGAAAAATGGATAAAACCAGAGTGCCAACAAAGCTAAATTTCTGGCTTATCCTAGCATGGACCAGAAACTAATTATTGCAAAACAAAAACTCATTTTCTATGTTATAAACAATACACAAAAGAAATAATTACTTGTCCTTAGCTATTAATCCATTATATTTGGCAAAGACAACATCAAGCTTCTTTCTTTCCTTTAGCTAATCTGCTAAATTTCTCTCTGTAACCCCCAGGACATTATTTGGATGAAGTTAAATTATCTATAAACATCACTAAGAACCACACCCTGAGCATCTGTCAGAAATATAGATCTTGACTAATTGGAGATCAAGAAGTTAAAGGAAACCAGTGGTCACACTAACAGAGGAGAGAAGAGAAACAGTCCTGCGAGGAGGAGAGGAACTGTGGAGCACACGGCTCCAAGTGTTAGTGGGAGTGAGGCAGGGGACAATGTGGGGACAGTACAGACAGACGGCTGGTCACTCTCCAGCGTAACATTAGCAATATGGCCGGTGAGTGTCACATGATCCATATGGCCAAGGGACAGACGTTTAGTACCAGAAAGACAAGAGTTTATCTCTCGACCCTGTCGCTGATGATCGCTGTCATTGTGGATATGTTAATTCGCTTTCTTGGGCCTTTTGCTTCATTTGAAGAATGAGAGTGATAACATTGCCCGGGTCACTGGTGCAGAAATTCACCTACAGTGGAAGGTACACCCATCAAACATTGGTGCAGAAATTCACCTACAGTCAAAGGTACACCTATCAAACATTGGTACAGAAATTCACCGACAGTCAAAGGTACACCTATCAAACATTGGTGCAGAAATTCACCTACAGTCAAAGGTACACCCATCAAACATTGGTACAGAAATTCATCTACATTCAAATGCAGGTGTACATGGGTTGGGGCAGATAAAATCACCCAAAGTCAAAAAGCTTCCTCCCAATTTGGTTTTTCAGGTTGTGAGGGGTTCCCTCTTTCTCTGTGTTCGGTTGCATTCCATTTGCAAACTTTAGGAGAAAGCACTTCGCTTGGGACCTTTTCCTTGTACTCTTACCCTCTCCTCAGCATATCGCCCTTTGAACATTTGTGGCAATAGTTTTACTGTTGTGATTTAGAGAAATATTTAGGAATGTTTCCTTAAAAACATTCCCTGCTTCCAGGAATTTATGCAGGAGTTTCTTCCGTTCAAACCCCAATTAAATGACATTGTTTTTTACATGATATGATCCCAACAGGAATAAAAAGATAACAGCAGTAGATTTTGGAAACTAGTAAGCAGATGGATGAGTGTTGATCAAGTAGGCTGACCTGAGGGGGCAGAATCCTAGGCCATCATTTGGGAAAAAAAAAATAGCCCAGCAATTTTACAGAGATACCCAGAAGGCTTAGGAATCCACGACAGGAGTATCTATGGAAATGGGTTTAAAGCTGAGACTAGGAACATGAGTTATTGATTAAAAGTCTAGCCAAGGGGCAGTTAGATCTCTAGATAGTTTTGCCTGCTCTGTGTAGACAGGGGCTGCTCCTCACCTCTCCCAGCAGGAGATAAGTGTTATTTTCTGGACTGAGTACTAAGAGCAGGGGGTCTCTGTCCTGGGGAGCACGAGGCACAGTTAACAATAAGGATACCAAAGAAACAGGGGCATGGACTCCCAAGCCTCTTCCGTAATATTGACCGCTGGGCCTCTAACCTCTAGGCAAGAGACCAGATGGTTCTTCTCTGGGGAATTTGCTCAATTCAAGAGGAAAGACGTAAGGATGCTAATGTCAGAGGCTCCCTGAGGGAACGGCCCGACCAGGTCACTTTACCCTGAAGCCCACAGCCAGTAAACCCCATCTGTGTGTTGACAGCTTCCAAGCAGAATGTTAAGGTTTTGGTCTTAAATATGAGCAGACAATCAGGGACACTAGGCGTTTGAGGTGAGCCTCTAAAAATAAAGATGGAAACCAAAGCAAATAGCAAAAAGCAAATTGGAGAAACAAACCAGGTAAGAAAAAACACTTAAAAACGTAATTAAATGATCAGAGAAACATCCATGAAACACAAACAAGATAAAAAATATAAAAAAAATCAAGGGAATAAAAGAGAGCTTTTAGAAATTAAAAGCACCACAGCTGAAATGGAAAACCAACAGAGGCTTTGGAAGATGAAATTATCTTATCTCAAAGTGGAACAAAAACAAAAACAGAAATGAGGGAAAGAGAAAAGATAAGACTGGAAAAACAGACGAAATGAAAATAATGACCTGATCAGAGGATTCCACAAAACGAAACATCCAGAACAACGGGGAAAACAACACCACAGTAAGGTACCGCGTCGGGAGCTTTCAGACCCCTTAAACCAAAGGAAGATCCTCTGGGCTTCCAGAGAGGAAAACTGACCTACTCACAAAGGAGTGGAAATCTGAGGGGCTTCGTGTTTCTCAGCAGTTCGGAAATCTACACAGTAATGGATCGATGCCACCTGAAACCAGGAGGCGATTGAAGTTCATCTCTAGATTAGTATGTTCTCTCTTTTCAGTCAAATATTAATCAAGTGAGAGGGTAGCACAAAAACATTTTCTGGCCTTTAAAGTGTTTAATTCCCAAGCACTTTTAAAAAAAAATCTCTTGGGAGAATTAAGAAAAAAGAAGACATGAGTTTTAGAAAACGGGAGGTCAAACACGAATGGCCCCTTCGGGATGAGGGTGAGGCAGCTGTGTCCCAGGCACAAGCAGCCAGACCAGATTGGCGCCACCCGCATTTCCAGGAGAGAGGACTTCCAGGCAAAAATCACAGAATAGTTAATGCATCTGAATGTCTTGATGTAGACACTGAATGTCTTTAAATAATGCTTGACTAGGTGGAAATGCTGAGATTGACGCAATGGTGCAAAGCAAAATCAACAAAGAAAACTTATTATTGACTGCGGGGAAACAGAGTTACACAGAACAGTGATCGGAGAATATTATTATCATAACTGATCTAACCAAGATTATACAACATACAGATACACATGCACATGCAGACAGGTCGCTAGATAACTATATGGAGAGGGGTGTGTGTGTGTGTGTGTGTGTGTGTGTGTTGATGATGGTAGAAATAGAGTTAAATCACCATCTTATAAAGTGGAAAGGCAAAGTGTGATGATTTCCTCTAAAAAATATTAAGAAGTGATGGGTGCAAGGTGACCTGTAATCCCAGCATGTTGGGAGGCTGAGGTGGGAGGATTGCTTGAGACCAGGAATTCAAGACTAGCCTGGGCAAGCTGGTGGGACTCCATCTCTCAGAAAAAATGAATAAACAAATCAATAAAAGAAGTTAGTCAGGTGTAGTGGAGCGTGCCTGTTGTCCCAGTTATTTGGAAGGCTAAGGTGGGAACATCACCTCAGCCTGGTAAGTTGAGGCTGCAGTGAGCTGAGATAGTGCCACTGCCTTCCAGCCGAGGCAACAGAGGGAGGGTCTCAAAAAAAGAAAGAAGAAAGAAAAGAAATATAAATAAACTATTTAGGATTATGGAGGTAAAGGCCAAGGTAATGGCTAAAAAGATATGAAAATGGTTGCCTCTGACAAGAGAAAATGAGAGAGAGTGAGTGGGATCACTGCTGTTTTTCATAATAAACCTGGTAAAGCCATCTCACTCTTTAAATGTATGCAGCCATAACACAGAGAGAAAATACAATACATATGACTCATATCACCGACCATTTCATCTTTGCCATGTTAATCTACAGATACCGGAAGTTTATGTGTTACTCACGGCAAGCAGCACATTGTTTCTGCAGAGTGCCCATGTCTTTGATGAGTGTATTACCTTCCTCAGTGACACCTGTGTCATTGTTTCTGAACAGTGTGCCCATGTCTTTGATGACTGTATTACCTTCCTCAGTGACACCTGTGTCATTGTTTCTGCAGAGTGCCCATGTCTTTGATGACTGCATTACCTTCCTCAGTGACACCTGTGTCATTGTTTCTGCACAGTGTGCCCATGTCTTTGATGACTGCATTACCTTCCTCAGTGACACCTGTGTCATTGTTTCTGCACAGTGTGCCCATGTCTTTGATGACTGTATTACCTTCCTCAGTGACACCTGTGTCATTGTTTCTGCAGAGTGCCCATGTCTTTGATGAGTGCATTACCTTCCTCAGTGACACCTGTGTCATTGTTTCTGCACAGTGTGCCCATGTCTTTGATGACTGTATTACCTTCCTCAGTGACACCTATGTCATTGTTTCTGCACAGTGTGCCCATGTCTTTGATGACTGTATTACCTTCCTCAGTGACACCTGTGTCATTGTTTCTGCACAGTGTGCCCATGTCTTTGATGAGTGTATTACCTTCCTCAGTGACACCTGTGTCATTGTTTCTGCACAGTGTGCCCATGTCTTTGATGAGTGTATTACCTTCCTCAGTGACACCTGTGTCATTGTTTCTGCAGCGTGCCCATGTCTTTGATGACTGTATTACCTTCCTCAGTGACACCTGTGTCATTGTTTCTGCACAGTGTGCCCATGTCTTTGATGACTGTATTACCTTCCTCAGTGACACCTGTGTCATTGTTTCTGCAGAGTGTCCATGTCTTTGATGACTGCATTGCCTTCCTCAGTGACACCTGTGATTGGAATATGGAGATTGAATCTGAAATTGTGTTGCTGTAACTTCTCTCGATCTCTTTGCTGACATCAGCTCATTTCTTCTAGCCGACGTTCCGGGAAGTCACTCCTCACTGGTCTGGCTGGGCAGCTTTCCTTAACTGCAACCTCTGACATGTTTCTTGGGCTTCTTTTGTTTTGGCATCTACGCTGATGTTCATGTTTCAGAGTGAAATGACTTCTAAGTAGAATCGAAGGGTGAACTTGAAGACTGCTGATTTCAAACAGAAGGTAAATGTCTGGGAGGTTGTCCTAGGAATAATCAGAGATGAAGTTAAATATTTTCACTCAAAGATGTCTGTTGAAGCCTCTTTATGACTCAATAAATAAAGGATTACAATGTGTCCGAATGACAGCACTGTATGTAGCCACCAGCAACATATTGAAGGAAATACCAATTCACATGGAAAATATTCATAATGTTGCTAAGTAAAATAAATAGATCAGTAGACCAAAAGACTTTATAAATAAACACAATTTTTGTAAAAAAATTGATATAAATATAAGAGACATGCATTAGAATGCCTACAGTGTAGTCTTTCGAGACCTTAAGTAACCTTGAACCTGTGGTGTTTTTGTTTTCCAGGCTCTCTCCATGAAGCATAAGTGGATTTCATAATTAGGAGAAAAGTGCTATTTTCAAAATAAAAGCAAACAAAAAATACACCCTGACTTCTTTTTCTTGCCACTGAGAAGACTTGGCTTTGCTGAAATTAAGATTATTGAAGGAAAGAGGAGTAGAAATCTTTTCGGTGGAGGCTGGCTGGGTCTGCTTCTGGGTTTGGAAGGCTGAACGTACCTCGGGCCAGTTCTGTTATTTGGTCTGGCCGTCGTGAATAGACGTTTCTTATCGTCCTCTGGATTCCTCAGATTACCGCCCTTTGAGAGTGGTTTGTAACAGTTCGGCCACTCGACCCATTCGAAGGTATCGGATTTAGTAGATTTGCTGTTTGACTTAGATCAAAGGGTCTATAATTGGTGAGCAGCTTCACCTGGCAGTTCCTGGGCCATTGGAAGATGAAGCTCCCTATCGGTTTTTTCCCCTGCTTGCTTAGACAAAAGGCTTTTTGTTCCTGTATAAATCTTTCACGCTACGCTCGCGGCAGTCGTGACAAGGAATACTGAAATTTAGTAAAATGCTCACACCGGGCCACAGAGAGGAGGGTGTGGAAATGGTGTCTATAACAGCAGTTGGCATGGTGCCAGGGAAAGACAGCTGGAGATGACGACGAGCACTTGTGGAACTGCTTTCGAGGTGACCGTGCCCTGGACTGGCTGGAGAACGCGCCAGGGTGCGGCAGGGAGGCAGGAGGCCTGGAGGGTTCCGCGCATGCTTTACTGCAATCCTGCATTTGGAAGTGGTGACTGTGAAGGGGGAGATGGCAGTTGAATGATCGGGCTAAGACATCTGAGCCCTTAAAACCAAATTTCCCTGGGAGACAAAAATCCCAGATCAAACAAGAGCTACCTTCCATGAAAAAAAAAATTTCCCATGAAACATGGGACTCTGTTTGTCCAGGCTGTGCTAAGCTTCCCTACAGGCATATATGGAGTGTCTTTAAATGTGGGGGAACAGGCTGGGCGTGTGGCTCACATCTCTAATCCCAGCACTTTGGGAGGCCAAGGCGGGTGGAGTTCGAGACCAGCCTGGTCACCATGGCAAGACCCCAGCTCTACTAAAAATACAAAAAATTAGCCAAGCATAGTGACCCCATCTCTACTAAAAATACAAAACATTAACCAGGTGTGGTGGTGCCGGCTGTAGTCCCAGCTACTCAGGAGGCTGAGGTGGGAGGACGGCTTGAGCCTGGGAAGTGGAGGTTGCAGTGAGCCAAGGTCATGCCACTGCACTCCAGCCTGTGTGACAAAGCCAGACCTTGTATCAAACAAACAAAATCAGTCGAGAACAGACTCCACCTTATGGGACAGCGGCACATCTGAAAGTTCAAAACAATTCCCCGAGGACTTTACCTCACAATCTCATTGGAAAGGCTGTGTCTACGGCGCCCTGGGAGAGACTCAGCAGCAGACAGGGTCTCCGGAGCACAAGACACGAGGAAGAGTGAATGAGGCTCCACCAGGAAGACACAAGCACAGCCGAAGCACAAGACAAGCGCACGTGCGTGCCCACCTGTGTAGCTCGCAGGAGAGCAAGTGCTTTCCCAGGATGGGAGCGAGGAGTCCTCAGTGCACCAGCGAGTGACTGTGAACCACTCACAGCAGCATGAAGAGGAAACTCTGAGTCCTTGAGAAATGTCTGAGCATCCGTGAGGAAGTATTCCTGGCTGGATCTCGCTGACTGCTTTAGCGTTCTCTGTTAGTGTCTCTTCAGCACTGCAGGACTCTGTTCCTTTCTTTTTTCACCCTATATAAAACACGACCTGCATTTTCTTCTTCTTTTTCTTTTCGCCGAGGCTGGAGTGCAGTGGTGTGATCTTGGCTGACTGTGGCCTTAACCTCTGGGGCTCAAGTGATCCTTCTACCTCAGCCTCCTGAGTAGCTGGGACTACAGGTGCGTGCCACCACACCTGGCTAATTTTTATTTTGTTTTTTTTTACTTTTTGAAGAGATGGGGACTCACTATGTTGCCCAGGCTGTTCTCAAACTCCTGGACTCAAGCAATCCTCCTGCTTTTGCCTCCCAAAGTGCTGGGATTACAGGCATGAACTACTGTACCTGGCCTGATCTGCATTTTCTGGGAGTGTTTTGTTCTCTGCTATCTCGATCCCAGGTCCTTGATCTTGTGCCTGAAGTCATGGATGGGCATCATGAGATTGAAGAATTCCCAGAAATTCAGTGTCACATTGTGTGTGCATGTATGTGACTCTCGGAGGAGCCCCTCACTCAAAACATGTTGAGCCGCTAGTGTGGATGCTGTGCTTGCTCAAAAGAAAAATCTCCTCTTTAATTTCCTTGTACTAAGATCTAACCTCCATTTGTTCAGAAATTACCGGGCTCCATGCCTGGTGCTTTAACATGTGTTCTTTCATTCAGTCTCCACCCAACCTAGACAGCGTTCATAATGTCATCTCCATTTGACTTCAAAGGCACCGTGCTCACAATGGTGAAGTGACTTATCCAGGATGTCACCACTAATAAGTGTCAGAGCTGTGTTGAGATTTGGGCCTCTCTCTCCCCTAGATGTAAGGCCTGGTCTTCTCCAGAGCTTGGTACAAAGGCAGGCATGGCCCAGGGCTCTCAACACAGTCAGTGGTAAAAATCCACAGGTTGCGTGGCAGCGTGTGAAGGGGATCATTGAAGGATGGGTCACGGAACCCAGGAAGGGAGCTCATCTCTGTGGGCTTCATGAAAACCTCACACCCTGAAGGACCTAATCCTGCCCCCTCTCATATTCAAAGGATCCCTAATGGAACAGCAACTTAAAAAGATAGCTCCTCATGTTATTCGGCCTTAAAAAAGGAAGGAAATTCTGACACATGCTACAACACGGATGAACCTTGCGGACATTGCACTAAGTGAAATAAGCTGGTCACCAAAGGATAAATACCAAATGATCCCACTTATCTGAGTCAGACTCACAGAGAAGAAAGAATGCTGGTTGCCAGGACCCGGGGGGCAGAGGGAGCTGGGGAGATGCTGCTTAATGAGTGCAGAGTTTCATTTTACAAAGTGAATAGTTCTAGAGATTGGATGCACCACAACGTGTGTGTACTAAACACTACTGGACTGTACCCATGAAAATAGGATGGTAAGTTTTATGTGTATTTTACCACAAATAAAAATGGATATTTAAAAACAACTCATATTCACTTGCAGTCAAGTTCTATAGACCCATCGTTCTGTTCCTCCCCGGGGGGAAGAGGGGAAACCTGGACTGCCTGAGCAGAGTGGGTGTGACTGTGAGGCGCCCCCAGACAGGGACGCTGGTCCACACACAGGTGCCTGGGTGGATGCCCACAGGCTGGAGGCTCTGCCCCAGAAGCTCGCTGCCCCGCTGTCCTTTTCCTCAAGCTTGCAGCGTGTCCGAGCAGAATGGGTGACTCTTAGAGTATTTGGCTACACCACCCCCACCATTTTCTTCTCCTTAACAACGTTCAAAGCCAAAGCAGTGGCTTCCCCCATAGCTGACGTGCGGGATGCTCAGGCTCCGAAGAGCCTCCGGCAAGAAGACTGCCATGTCCTCGCCCTTCCAACGCTAACGCTGGCTCGTGGGACTCAGGAAGTCTCCCCAGAAGTCATCTACCCACTGGCAGGCCGGGCCCCTGGGAACTCTCCATCCAGAGAGGAGCAAGGTCATGAAATTTAATTGCTGATTCTCCGAATTGAAAGCCCGAGGTGACTAGAGCCCGAGCGCAGGGCGGCTGGGAATGAATCCACAGCTGCGCCCCGCAGCCTGGGAGCTTGGACGGCCGCAGCGGCGAACTGGGGCTTCTCCAGCCCAAACACATTTGTCACCGCGGCCCAGGCATCCAGGCTGCCAGAGCAGCATTTGTGTCCGACAAATGAGGCCTCGCTCCGGACAAAGGGGGCTCTTAGTACTCATTCGGCTTTGGCTGCTTCACAGCCGGCAAGAGCCAGGGGACTGCTTTTGTCAGGACAGGGAAACAAAAGCGATTCATTTCATCACGCACCACGTGCGCTGCGGTCAGTCAATGCAGGCAGGCCCTGCAGCCAGCCATCCTTACAGCCACCGCTTACTGAGGGCCTACGAAGGGCCAGGGACTATTCTAGGTACTGGGCACGTGTTGCCTGATTTAATTCTCCCGACAAAGCCGTGCTGTAGGGATTGTCCCCCTGTAGTCATGCGGAAATTGAGACGCAAAGAGGTGAAGTCCAGCGAGTGAGCAGCGGCAGAGCCAGAATTGCTACCCATGCCCAATTGACTCTCAGCTGACTGATTTTCCCAATATACACCTGCCACAAATAGCAGACAGGCCAAATATAGACCTTTCCTTTGACCATCCATCTCCAGGGAGGCCTAGAATGCCCTGGACATTCAGCAAATACTTATATCAAATGCAACAGAAACAAAAAGGTGTGAGGGGATTGAGATTCTAAGATGTTTTCTTCTAACTCGCAGAAAATGCTGCTATAAAGAAAAACGTTTTAAAAAATGAAGACAGAAAGAAATGAAGATCCCTGGGCATGGTGGCACGTGCCTGTAGCCCCAGCTACTCAGGAGGGCGAGGCAGGAGAACTGCTTGAGCCCAGGAGTTTGAGGCTGTAGTGAGCTATGATGATGCCACTGCACCCCAGTGTGGGTTACAGAGTGAGACCTTGTCTCTACAAAATAGATTAATAAATAAAAATCAGCCAGGCATGGCGGCATACCCATAGTCACAGCTGCTCGAGAGACTCGAATGGAAGGCTCACCCGAGCCCCAGAGTTCCAGTCTGCAGTGAGCTATGATGGCGCCACTACACTTCAGCCTGGGCAACAGAGCAAGACCTTGTCTCTAAAAAATAATAAAATGAAAAAAAAAATGGAAATCGACTTTTCTGTCAGTAATTAAGTTAGTGGTCTCTTATCTCTCCTTAATAAAGGTCAAAAGTTTTAGCTAACACATGTTCCTATCTGATTACATTGGTGATCATTTCCAGTCCCCGACAGTGGGCTTCATATGTGCTAACGTTCAAGCACTTTTCACTGTCCAGATGCCTTGAATCCGCATTTTTGGCCTTAAGGAGAGAAGTGTCCCTGAGTAGCTGGCCTCTCTCCTTTATCGTTTCACTATGGGTCCGGAAAATGAGACAACCTTTCCTCCCAGTGGGTCAGCATGGTAAAATGCCAAATGAGAAGCTCTGTGGCATGGTGAGTATGAATCCAGAATTCCGCTTCACAAGCCCGCTTTATTCTCTGCTGTGCCTACTTCTGCTGAACGGGTGTCCTGCTCACGTGTCAGTCCACGGACTTCCACACACAGACGCTCCCATCTCACCGACCACTTGTGCCACATTTTCCACTGACATTTTAGGCAGAATCCAAACACTGGTTTGGGGCATCAGGTTTTGGGATGTTCCAGGGCTTAAATTCATGCTTTTGTCTGAGAGGCGATAGGTGACTGTCCCATCAGTTCTCAGTTGCAGGGGACAATTTCAGAGCAAGACCAATACACAAAGCCGAAGGGGCAAAGATTTGAGAAGGAATGGAGGAAAAGAAGGAGCTAGGAAGAGACAGGAGGGGGAACAGAATCACCTGAGTGAAAGCAAAATTCATTGCCCATTCATCAGTCCATTTCCCCCCAAAATACTTACCGAGTACTTACTTGTGATGGTTAATATTGAGTGTCAATTTGATTGGATTGAAGGGTGCAAAGCAGTGTTCCCGGGTGTGTCTGTGAGGGTGCGGCCAAAGGAGATTAACCTTTTCTCCCCCCACACACCCTGCGCACGGAGTCTCGCTCTCACGGGCTGGAGTGCAGTGGCACCGCTTCAGCTCACTGCAAGCTCTGCCTTCTGGGTCCAAGCAATTGGAGAGTGACATTTGGGTCAGTAGACTAGGAGAGGCAGACCCACCCTCAATCTGGGTGGGCACCATCTAATCCGCTGCCAGTACAGAATAAAGCAGGCGGAAGAACTTGCAAAGAGCGGACTTGCCGAATCTCCTGGCCTTCACCTTTGTCCCATGCTGGATGCTTCTCGTTCTCCCATGCTGGATGCTTCCTGCCCTCCAACATCAGACTCCAAGTTCTTCAGCTTTTGGACTCTCCGACTTACATCAGTGATTTGCCAGGGGCTCTCAGGCCTTCAGCCACAGAGTGAAGGAGATACACTTTTGTGGTTTTGGGATTTGAACTGGCTTCCTTGCTACTCAGCTTGCAGACAGCCGACTGTGGGACTTCATCTTGCGATCATGTGAGTCGGTATTCCGTGATAAACTCCCCTCATATATACATCTATCCTATTAGTTCTGTCCCTCTAGAGATCCCTGACTAATACACTAGTATTTGCCAAAATACTAGGTACTGGAGCTACAATAGCATGTCAGTCAGGATCCCAGTGGGAAAGAGAGGGCACACTTAAAGAGAGGTAATTGCAGGGACTATTTGCAAAGGCATAGGCAGAGCAACGGTGGGAGATGGGGAAGACCCAGGATAGCAATAACAGGAAGCTTACCTCTGCTGAGCCTGGAGAGGCAAGGGGAGGCACGGACCAAAGGAACCAGGGAAAGAGTGGAACTGTAGAAATGGGGCTTCCAGAGAGCCAACCTGGCTTTTGGTAGAGGAATTCAGTAACTGCCAAATCTTGGCCCGGACTTGTAGAATCTGGGGGCAATAAATGCCCTGAATATTGATGAACCCAAAGGGAAGCCAGAAGGTAAGAGTCCAAAGATGCAGCTCTTAGAGATTAAGAACTGAGGCATGGAGCAGGGTGGGGAAGAATGGAGAGTGGAATGGATGGGGGGAGGGGAGGCTGTAATTTGAATGTGTCTCCCAAAGTTTGTGTATTGCAAACTGAATCCCCAGTGCAACAGTGTTGAGAGGTAGGACATTTAAGATGCTTAGGTAATGGGAGCTCAGCCCTTGTGAATGGATTAATGCGGCATCTTCAGGGTGGGCTTGCTGTTTTAAGAGTGGTTTTGTTGTAAAAGCAAGCTTGGTCCCTTCTTGTTCTCTTTGTCACGCCTGATCTCTTTCCTTCCCACATTTCACTATGATATAAGGCAGAAAGAAAGCCCTTGCCAGATTCAGGCACCTCCGCCTGGGGCTTCCCAACCTCCACAACTGTAAGAAACAAATCTCCATTATTTATTTAGAGGCGGAGTCTCACTCTGTCACCCAGGCTGGAGTGCGATGGCGTGATCTCAGCTCACTGCAACCTCCGCCTCCTGGATTCAAGTGATTCCCCTGCCTCAGCCTCCTGAGTAGCTGAGACTACAGGCGCATGCCATCACACCTGGCTAATTTTGTATGTTTTAGTAGAGACAGGAGTTTGCCATGTTGGCCAGACTGGTTGGTCTCAAACTCCTGACTTTGGGTGATCCGCCTGCCTTAGCCTCCTGAAGTGCTGGGATTACAGGCATGAGCCATCATGCCTGGCCAAATCTCTGTTGTTGTTGCTGGTTTTTAAACACTTAGTTTTAGGTATTCTATTACAGCTGCACACGAAGCACTAAGATGGATTTGCAGACATCCAGCACATGTGGCAAACAAGATAGAATTTGTTCGGGATCGAGAGATACATTCAGGAAGCTGGGTCCAAGTCCGTCAAAATATTAAGTCAAGGAACGTTTTGGTTTTTACCAACGAAGTAGGTGAAGAGGTCTGGTGGGTAGGAGCTCCTCTCCGGAGTTCTCACTGGAGGAGGTAGGACCGATGACCGAAGCTCTAGTGACCCAAGGGTACCCGGGTTCATCTGGCCCTCTCTGTGTGGGGGACCCTCCCAGGGCTCGGCCTGACAGCGTCTGCTGCTGCCCTTTGACCTTGGCTTGGGCTGGTCAGTATCAGAGGCCTTCCCTGGACTAAACTCCTCGATAATCACCATCTTCCCCAACAGGGCCGGCAAGACAATAGAGGGAAATTCTCTTCACGAATAAGAAAGCAGCTACTTTCAAGCTGTCATGAGGATTTTCTATAAACAATGGAAAGCTAATTTCAAAAGCACACTGCTTTATTCACTTAAGCAGATCCCCAGGGATTCTCCCCCAGGCAGCACTTCCTTGGCCTACTTTACAGTTCATGTACACTTGGAAGTAATACACCTGCAGCTCTAAAGACATCCGGGAAGTCAGGCTTGTTCCTTTCTCTCTGACGTCCTCTGCAATCAGTCTAGTTAGCTGAGATTTTCTCGACTCTCTCTG